AGGGTAAACGAGTATGCGACAGATGAGACTAGTGTAGAGAATCAGATATGATTTTAGTAGTAGAGTTATCAGCATATTATTATTCTGAGTCATCGCGGAAGAAGAAGTTGGTTGGTGTGTACACTCGAGGAGGACAATGCCAGACTAGGTGAAGCTTGCAAGCAGGCACGAGTGAGTGACACATATGCTAATGGAGATTGTGACGTTAGACTTGATGATGATGAGAGCTCATATTCGGTCCAAGATAAGTGATGGAGGAGATGGAGGTATCTGGCTCGTAGTGTGGAGTAGAAGAGGTGCACTGATATGATTCGTGACGAGCGATGCAGGTGGAGTACAAGGATAGAAAGTAGGGGAAGGCTACTGTCAAGTTTAGTTCGGGAGGAGAAGCATGATTGATTTTCTTCTAATGTCAGAGGTGGCGAAGATCTCTTGGTACGCACAAGAGAGGTGGAGGCGCCACAGCGAGGTAGATGAAAGTTAGGGTCACAGGGGCATCTAGTTGGAGTGCAGATGTTCTAATTAGGAGTATGGCTACTTTGATTTGAAGTGAGAAAAAGGAATAGAAGACTCTAGCGGGAGAGGCAAAATTTCAAGACAATGATGATATATCTTCAAGGGAGTTTGAAAATCAAATCTTGGGTGGAGATTATTGGAATTGTGTATTTGATTCTTTGTAGAACTTCATGAGAATTAGATAGGATTAGAGATCTATCATGATTAGGAGTTTGGGTTCCATTATGATTAGGAGTTTAAATCCTATTCTAATTAGGAAGTTAGGCTAGAGATAGTGTTTTAGTTTCCCTATATATATTTTTCTATTATTGGAGGAAAAACTAAGAAGAAGAAGAGAGTAGAGAGAAGCTGTAGTGTTAGACCCTAGAGGGGGGGTGATTAGGGTCTTATGCTAATCTAATCCGATTAAATACCAATTAAAATTAATTAATAAGTTATCCTAGCAAGTATGAAATACAACAATATTTGTAAGCTAGGATAAGCAATATGAACAATAATATATATCCTAATAATAAGATATAGGCAATGTATGTGCAAGAATATATAAACAACACAAGGGTAGATAATCTAAACAAGATAGTGGATGATATAGTAATGAGCAATGCACAATTGGCGATATAAGATAAATGCAAAAACAAATACGCCAAAGACAAACTCAAACAAGCAATATGATCACGGAGTTCGGACATTCCGTCCTACGTCTCCGCTCCCCACTCCCGGGGAGAAATCCACTATCAACCGGGTTTTCTACGTTCACCCGAACAACGTTTACACCTCACACTCGGTTTTCTAGCTAAACAAAAACTTTACAATCAACACACTATTGTAATCCCACTCTACACCCACTAAGTGTTGAACTAGACGTGTCTCCCTCAAGTGCTCGGGTTACAACCTCTCCCTAGGCACGTCAACCGACGCCACTCCTCTTGGGACGATCCCCGACTCTCACCACACACTCCTCACTCGGTGTACAAGTGTATTACAAAGTGAATCTCACAATAAGCACAATATAACAAATGATTGTTCTCAAATATGGATGAGAACTCAATTAAGCACAACTCAAAGTTACAATCTCTCACCACCCAACTATACTATGTATGGAAGATACAATAAGCTCAATGTGGGTGTGTGTAACAATGAGTAAAATAAAATCTAACTCAAATAGCAAACTAGCAATAGTAAGAATATGAAAATCAATAACGAAATTGCTAGAGAAAAGAGTTAGAAAAACTTCTCTATAAACACAAAGAAGAGGATGAAGAGGATTGAGAATGAATCCCTCAATTCAAAAACTCAGCCAAAACCCCTAACAAAAGACAAAAACAGCCCCAGCAAACAGCTCAGGAAAATAGCCGTTGAAGTCCAACGGATCTATTGTCGGTCGACCGGAAATTTCGTCGGTCGACCGAAAATTTCGTCGGTCGACCGGAAATTTCGTCGGTCGACCGAAAATTTCGTCGGTCGACCGGAAATTTCGTCGGTCGACCGATGGAAAGAATTCGGTCGACCGACGGAAAATCCGGTCGACCGCGAGCAGGTCTGAAAAACAAAAAACAAGCAGAGACTTCGTCAGTCGACCGGTGCGGTCGACCGATGGAACTTTCGGTCGACCGGACCGGTCGACCGACAGACTCTCTGTCGCCCAGTGAAGAAAGATCAAATGATCGGTCGACTGGTGCGGTCGACCGAAATCTGACACATGAAAAAAACCTGTTTTGCTGATTTTAAAACACTGTTTAAAAATATCAAATAAATTCTAAAAAATATAAAACTTTGGGGAATGATTGTAGACATGATAATAAACATGCTACAGTGACTGGTTTTTAGAAAGGACTTCCCAAATATAAAATATCATCATTTTGCAAGGAGGTCCAAAACACGAAAATATAAACACATGAGTTTTGATATTTTAGCTAAACCATGTTTTGAAACAATACAAAATGATTTTATAGACTTAATAGAAGATGTAAACTATTGTTATGAAGTCTATAAATAATGAATATAGTATTTTATCAAAATACACATATAATACACTAAAACATGATTTCATGGAACTAAATAAAATTGATATTGATGAAATCATATAAATGTATTAAGTATGAAACAAAAATATGTTTTCCAATTGTATTCAATTGTTTCATAGTAAAACTTGAAAACTATCAAATCAAAACATATATGTATATATATAACTATATATATACATGGAAACCAATAAATGTGTGTGTGTGTATGATATTGAGTTTAAAGTACCAACACACATAATATAAACTCCTAAACTAAATTACCCAAGTGATCTTGATCTTCAACGAAGCTCTATCTTGGTACACTTGCGGATGAAGCTTGAACTTGATCTTTAACTTGAATTGTACGATGCTTCACTCCACAATTCCACCAACCTCCTCTTGATATGATCGTTGAAGCTCTATTCCATCCATCCTCCAACTACGTTGTTTGTCTACAATATATAAGAATGCACAAACACTAGACAAATAACATTAGTAGTAAATTGTTTGTTAAACATCATCAAAACAAGAAGGCCAACATGTAGTAGAGAGAGAGAGCCAATATTCTTATAATCTAGGGTTAGCAGAGGGCGTAGCCTGATTCAAGAATATTGTGCGAGAGGCGAGGGTTTCACAGTCTTTGTTCGTATAAAAGATTGTAAGGAGAGAGCTTTGGAGATAATATGAGAGTTGATTATGTATGTGAGGTTGAGAGCTTGGGAGACGAGAGTTGAATGGTTACTCTTGTAGTTCTCCCTGATACATAATGAATTTCTCGTATTATTGTCCCGTGGACGTAGGTCAAAGTTGGTCGACCGAATCACGTAAATTTCGGTGTTTTTTTTTTATTGTAGTCGTTTTATATCTTGTTAATTGTGGGTTGGCTTCAGAGTTGCGCATATTGTAGTAGGCGGGGAGAGAAAATTCCCCAACATTAGTATTTAACAAGTTAAGATTTTAGACTAATTTGGTTCTCACACATTAATTTCAGGCCCATTAATTTAACTCTCGGAGGGCCAATTTCTTACAACTGGTATTATATATAACTCCGA